TTTATACACACTGTACAAAGAATACTAATGAAGATGAGTTTTGTCAGATATAAAGTCACTCCACGTGACATATTATGGCTGACTTGATTTGCCACAAGGTTTATGAATTTTTAATGAGTATTTTAAGTATTGATATGATGATATAAAAACATCATGGGAATGCGATTTAATATGCACTTTATATATTGTAAAATACTGTAAAAAAATAAATGCCAAAATACGCACTGATTCAAAATATTGGTGGACTGCTTATTTACTGTGTCATTTGCTTCACGTTCGTCGATTTTCAGGCCATTTCGTTGAAGCCAGCCTATATTGTATATCATCTTAAAATACTCATTAATAATTCATAAACCTTGTGGTAATCATGTCAGCCATAATATATCACGTGGAGTGACTTTATATCTGATAAAGCATGTGGCATTATAATATAATTGTTCATCCTCATTAGCATGATTATATAATGGTTCATCCTAATTAGTATTCTTTTGTAGTCGTATTTTAAGCTATTCAAAACACTCGTTGTCGTGTTTTATCAGACATAAAACGCTCAGCTGCGCCTCGCATTTTATATCTGATAAAACACTCCTACTCGTGTTTTAAATAGTACTAATATTACCCACTATCACTGATAACGCAAAGGTAGATAGCTGTGACGCCGGGCGAGCTTGGGCAAGAGCCGCAAGACCTAAATTTCAACAAAACTCGCCAAAAAATATTGCCAAATGCTTTTAAAGCCGTGGCTATGCATAATTATGTTTATTCAATCTTTACAACTGGTAAAATCCTTTCCCTCGCTTCTCCTTGAAGAATAAAAACAACTTAAGTACTATTAAAGTACTTTCTCCGAACTCGTGAGTCGATCTGCTCTGGAACCAAACCGTTAAAAATTTTAATTTTTCGAACTTCGTAACCGCACCTCTCGTTAAATATTTCACCTCAATCCTCCTGATCTATTAATTGCACGTTAATAGATCAGTAACAATCAGTAATAATAACTACGCCCACTGAGATAGAGAAAGAACTTTTGTCCATTGTTTTTGAAGTAGAGAAGTTCCACCAACATACTGGTAGAAAGATAGAGATCATAAAGACAATAGTCACAAAGCCACTGGTTTCGGTACCGAAACGTCTTCGGAGAATACTGCAACGGTCAATGCCTATGCATGATCAAGACATAAAGTACAAACCCCCCAAAAGGACATGTATTTATTTGGCAGACACGCTATATCGTGCCTATTTGACCAACAATTACGGCAGGGACAGTGTCACAGCAAGTAGAGCAACAGTTATCAGTAACAGAAGAGGAGACTCCAGTAGATTCCAACAAAACGTGTCAATTTACGACCCCAAAAAACGACTATAAAAGTACGGGATAAAAGACCAAGCAATGTTGCAAGCCTTGGCCGTTTCCTTTTAAATATCCCGTGGGAAAATATATTGTCACCTCTGCGATCTTCTGATGATAAACCAACAACATTTACAGAAATAATAAATTATGGTTTAAATACCATAATGCCAGAAAGATCAATTAAAGTAAACCCAAATGATCGTCCGTGGATGACTAGCCATTTGAAACGCCTTATTTTACAAAGACAAAAAGCATTTGCCTTAGGTAACAATTTCATGTTTAAATTGCTGCGAAACAAAGTAAATCGGGAAAGAAAACGTTGTCGTAAAGTATATTATAAGAAAAAGTTAGCAACCTCCTGGATTCGAAACCTAAAGACTGGTGGCGAGAGGTAAAACAGCTCAGTGGTCAGCAATCAACACGGCCAGACCTCAGATCCATGATTAGATTTGACGTTGACAACAGTGATGAAGATTTAGGAAATAGGATTAACGAGGCCTTTATCAGTGTCATGAAAGATTTCCCCCCGCTGCCTGAAGATTTTAACCTATCGACTGACAATGATGAACCAATTAGCGTCTCAGAAACAACAGTGGAGCGGCTACTACGTGCAATCAGTGTTTCCAAAGCTAGCGGTCCTGATGAACTCCCCAATTGGGTTCTAAAGAGCTTTTCTGACATTCTGGCACCTGCAATTACGGATATACTTAATGCATTCTTCCGTGAATGCAAGGTGCCGAGGGTATATGGAAAATAGCAGATGTGCCACCTGTTCCTAAAGCCAAAAACATTACTGATTTTAACAAGGACTTGAGCCCAATAATATCCTTAACTTCAACATTGTCAAAAATTGTAGAAAACCTCATCATCGAGTATGAATTAAAATCTAAACTACTAAGAAAGATGGACCCAATGCAATTTGGCTTTATCCCAGGATCAAATACGACTCTTGCGCTTATTTCAATGATACGTACCTGGCTAGATGCACTTGATGGGACGGGCTCTACAGTAAGAGTCGCTCTACTTGATTATCGCAAAGCCTTCGACCTAGTCGACCACAATCTACTTGTTGCAAAACTATCGAATTATGAAATAAAGCCAACGGTTATAAATTGGATAGCTGACTTTCTTCGTGGTCGAACTCAGAGAGTTAAAATAAACTCTGTGCATTCAAATTTTTTACAAGTTCCTGCCGGTATTCCACAGGGAACGAAAATCGGTCCCTGGCTATTCCTAGCAATAATAAATGACCTATGTATTACAAAATCTCCGACTAACGTAACCTGTGGAAATTTGCAGACGATACTTCGGTTTCCGAAGTTATTCCAAAAGATGGTGTTAGTTCCCTGCCAGATAAAGTAGACGAAGTAAATAAATGGTCGAATGACAACAAATTTCAACTGAACCCTGGTAAATGTAAAGAGCTGAGGATAAACTTTACCACGCAACCATTTACTGAGGAATCCCTAAACATAAACGGGACGCCATTTGAAATTGTAAAATCCGCAAAAGTTCTGGGCATGATAGTTACCAATGATTTGAAATGGAACAAACATGTAAGCAATA